AGATTATATATTTCAAATTGGGCTATTAACAACAATCATGAGCCGGAGTCCTGGTGTCGCACTGTAGGGTAAGCACTCCAACACAAGGTAGGTTTGAACCACAATATCAACAGTTCAAACCCACCAGCCACTCCTTGGAAACCCTATATAGGGTCACTATGAGTCGAAACTGACTCAATGGCACTGAACTACAACAACAATCACAAATCACTCCTACCTCCATCCATGGTTTAACTCATACTTCACGGAGGTAATACTGGACTTTCTCCATCATGGTGGACACTTAGAGAAGCAAAGTTGAGAGGAGACTTCTCCCTTGCTCTGGCATCTTCTCCATGCTTGCTGGATGGTAGAGAGACTAGTCACAGCAAAAAGTTGTCATCTTCTCCCCTTGTATCTCTCCTTCTCCATTTTGTCCTCTTCTTTCTTCCCTGTTTCTTCCTGATATTCGGTGCATTGATTATTAATCGTTTGGTACTTGTTCCTCAAGCCAGGTCCATTCCTAGGTCTTCACTCTTCAGAAAAATGATGAGAAGATGAGGCCACACGGCTTCATATCAGCTACATGTTTCCAGTCCTTTCACGATTGTTAACATTTTTAGCTGGAAGTACATGTTAATTGGACAAACAACCTAATTTGTTCTAAATGGCAAACTTCAAAGCATTTACTGCACAGTTCTGTTGATGAGGTTTAGGACTGAAAACTGTAAAGGACTCATTACATCGTAGTTTTCTAAATGTGAAGTTCAGAGGTTGTCACAGAAATGAACTTCCTGAAGGAAGGTCGGCACCTATTTCTTGCACATGTGCAAAGTACCTGGACCCAAGTAGGCATTTTGTAGATGAGAGGTGAATGTTAAAAATAGGGTTTTAAGCAATGTATTTAAAGTCTAGCTGTGGTGCTGTAGGATAAGCACTGGACTGCTAACCACAAGGTATGCAGTTCAAACCTACCAGCTCCTCGGGAACACTACACAGGGTTGCTTTGCGTTGGACTCGACTTGACAGCACTTAACAAGAAAAACAGTTGAGAAAGGAGCTTGGGTGGTGCCGTAGGATAGGTACTGCAAATCACAAAGTGGGCAGTTCAAACCCACCAGTTACTCCATGGGAGAAGGCTCAAGCTTTCTGTTCCTGTGAAGATGCCCAGCCTTGGAAACGCTATACAGAGTCACGATGAGTCAGAATCGCCTGGTTTCTGGGCGTTAAAGAGAACACATCTTCATTCTTGGTAGATGATGACCTTTTGCAGTTCTGTTGTACTTGCTTGTTCTCTCTGTGACTTGACAAGGCCCCAGACTTGCGATAGCCTGACTCATAGCCAAGGACCTGCAGAACTGGATCCTCCCTCTTGGCCATTGCTCCCTAAATATCAGTACCTATGACCTAGATCAGCTGTAGCTTCCAGAAAAGAACTCGAGTCTGTGAAACAGTTCTAGAGAAGAGAATAGAGCATTAACATACTTCTGAACTCCACATAATCAACTTTGTTACAATTTTATTATGTCAGTTGATAGCTCGTATTTAATGTTTAAGGGCATATTGAAATGGAATTCCATTATTGATTTATAATCCAGATCCAGTGCTTTGCAGAGTTTGTGTCCATCTAATAAGTACTAAACTGATTTCAGTAAGAGCTATAAGAAAAATCTGGTAAATTCAGTGTAAATTAATCACTTCTTCTGTGATGGTTAAACTGCTTTGTGGTTGAACACCAAATACAGTGTATCGAATTAACTCAATTGTTATTTGAAAGACCCAAGTCTACCTGTAGAAGGACAATCGTTTTGCAAGATGATGGGCTATATCTAGATATACAGACATTTCTTGTAACGGCGTACTAAAGTACATATATTTTTCCATAAATCCTGCTCTTCAGCATGTTAAAGGTAAGAAGTATTTGATGCTTCATAATACATTAATAAACTATTGATTGTAAACAAAAGGAGTGTTGTTATGAATACGCATATAATTAAAATTAAGTTTAGACTATTAGGCAAATGAACTCTGATGGGTTTATACAGAAGATAGCAAGAGAATGAAATTCTGATAGCAAGGTAGTATACTTCCTTATACGAGCCTTACTTTATGTATACAGATGCGGAATCATAAAATTTGAAACATCTACTGATTTTTACTTTAAAGGCAAGATCAACTTAGACATTGAAACCCAGTTAAAATAATTTGTGTTTTTTAAGTAACAGTGTCTTGAGTGTTTTTTAAAGTATTAATTTTGTATTGCTGGTGCTGTAGTACCACTGTACTGCTGTTCACAACATCAACAGTTCAAACCCACCAGCCACTCCTTGGGAGAAAGATGAGGCTTTTTGCTCCTGTAAAGATTCGATTTGAGTTGACTACGTTGATTCTGACTCACAGAGCCCCTGTATAGGGTTTCTGAGGGTTTTTGAACCGCCAGCCTTGTGGTTCAAACCGACCTTTCAGTCCAGTGCGTTATCCTGAAGCGTCACACCAGGACTCTAAAGTCAGTGATAGTGGGATTCCCCCACCCCCACTCCCAAGATATTTATGTGTTTCCTGTGTATGCATAGAACTTCAAAGCATTTTAAGATGGTTTCTTCTTGGGGAAGAGAATAGTTTAAGTCATTCACCCTATAAACAATGGAATTGATCTTTGGGGGATAAAATCTACAAAGAATTAGAAGCAAGGAAAAGGCAGTTCTGTTTCTCAGTAATTCCATTGTGAGATGATTTGGACGTATCCCGCCACCTGGTGGATATTAGTAAAAGTGCTACTGGATAGAGTTAAACGGAATAGAGTCTAAATCCAGGTGTGGTGCTGTAGGATAAAGTAGCAGAAAGGTCGGTTTGAGCCACAAGATTGGCAGTTCAAACTCACCTGCTTATCCTCGGAAACCCTATACAGGGTCACTATGAGTCAGAACCGAGTGGACGGCCCCTAACCACAACACCACCAACCTAAATCAGAATACATTTTCTTATTCTGAGTTTATGCCAATGAAATAATTATCTTTGTATGCCAATGAAATTATTATCTCCCTCCCCCACCTACCAAGAGAAACAACCCAGTCACAACCCATATTCTAAACAACAAAAATAATCAGTCCCCCAGTTTTTGCAGTGTAAACTCCTGTCTCTAACTCATACACCATCATACAGGTATAGATCTTTTGTTTTTCTTAAAGTATTCAAATACCATTACTGACAGGACATACATATGCTAAAAGTGATGCCACTAAACACTATATGTAAAATTGAAGTTTCCATTTGTAAGGTAGATTGTTAGTTTGGGATGCCCTCTTGTGTTCCCAAGATGAACTATTGTTAAATTCCCTCAAGCCAGTGTGAGGCTGTAGGATAAGAACTAGCCATCTAACAAGGATGGCAGTTCAAACCCACCAGCCACTCCTCAATAACCCTGTACCGGGTCAGTGACCCGACTCTCTGACACTTAACAACAGCAATGTAGGGTTTCTGAGACGAAATCTTTTCAGGAGCAGAAAGCCTTCTCTTTCTCCTATATTACATGAAGTCATGATGTGATGCTATAAGGTAAGGACGGGAGTGGTAGCCACAGTTCAGCGGTTCAAACTGCCAGTTATTTCTCATAAGCCTATATAGAGTCTGCATGAGTCAGAACGGAGCCACAGCACTTAACAACAATAACATAAACTAGTAAAGAAAAATGAAAAGGTGGGATCGTGTTCTGAAGCATTATGCTCACTGGGTCCTTGAAGCAGTGTTTCTAGCAGGGATGACTGCTTGGCTGAAGTCACCTGCTTGCTCTCATCTTGTGCTTCGACTCCAGGTGCACCCTGAAAGCCTTTCCTGGGCTCTTTTGGAATTTGGTCTTGGAGACCGCTTTCTCCCACCTTTGCAAGCCTATCTGACCTATGAATATATTACCCAATTACTTTACTTGATTAGAAAAAATTTCCTTAAAATTTTATAATAGTCTTCTTCTTAATTAGCCCAAATTACCACATAGTTGACTCCACACAATAACCACAAGGTTGGCGGTGGGAACCCACCAACAGCTCCACAGGAGAAAGATGACATATTCTGTTCCCAAAAAGATTAAAAGTCTGGGCAACCCTATACAGGGTCTCTATGACTTGGAACCAACTCAACAGCACTTAACAATAACAGCAACCACTTTCTTAATGTTTAGAAGAAGATCAGCACCATTTTTAAAAGGGGACCAGTTTTTTTTGCTGTGATTCCCAGTATGAACTTGAATTCACTTGAAGAATCCCTGGACAATGTTGCAAAACATTATTTGTTCAGATGAGACAAACACCTCCAATCCCCTGAAATTATTTAAATACTTCATTTGTGATTGCCAAAGTGGTATTTTTATTAGCTAGCCTAAAATAAAAATATGAAATGATAGTTTTTTATTGTTCTCCAATAGTTTTCTCTGGTTTGGGATTTTTTAATTATTCTGAAGCTTCTCTAATAATAAAATTACTGATAATAAACTCTAATTTTTTTATCACTTAAATTACACTTCTGTTAAATTAAATATATTTGGCAGAGTCTGAGCAAGCGAAATTAGTGATATCCAAGCAAAAGAAGTAAAGAGAATTTGGATCTATTCTTAGTTCTTTTATTTTTAAAAATTAATTTTTAGGCCAAACTGATTCCAGACATTGTCGTAGCTCAGGTAGAAATGGAGAGCTATGATTCTTATGTTTGTAACTTAATAGAAGATGAACAGCTCAGTCAGAATAAAAGTAAGAGGATATGAAATTAATGCAATATGAATCATAAATAAAACCGTGAGATTAGAGTGGCCATCACAGAGGAGGTGGCGTTCGATCAAAAACAGAATTGAGAGGTAGGACTTGAATAGATAAAGATAAGAAAGAAGGAATGTCTTAGATAGAGGAAATGGCATAAACAGAAGCCGCAACCGGTGCAAGTATAACTTCTTCATTTTCTACTGAAATAAAATACAAGATGCTTCATAGAATTTGACAGTTGAATCAACAACGGTTCTTCTTTTTTCTCTTTAGTTTGTAGTTCCGAACCAGAAAATGTTCAGGCGGACCCGGAGAATTACACCAGTCTACTGGTGACGTGGGAGAGACCTCGAGTGGTTTATGACGCCATGATCGAGAAGTTTGCAGTCCTTTACCAGCAGCTGGAAGGAGAAGACCAAACCAAGCATGAATTTCTGACAGATGGCTATCAAGACTTGGTAACTAAAAAGTCAATTGTTTTCTGTATCCATGACACAGTAGCATTACCGTTCCATTTCTGAGGTGAGAAGTCAAAAATGAGTATGTATGTGTGGCCTCCATTTATTTTAAATGTGCTCAGGAAGCTCTCCATTGGTAGGGTGAAAGAGAATAAATGTTAACTAAAGGTTCCTTACTAAAAGTTGTCATTCTTCACCTTAAGTTACACTAGGTTCTTTATTATGTTTTTCACTGTAAGGAGATCATGACTTTCTCAATGCTAAAAAGATGACTGAGTAGATCCATTTGGAAGGCTTGTAAACTGGAGATCGTATACTATATATAGGCCGCTTTCCAAATAAAAGGACCTGGAGTCTTGTTGTAACACTGTGCATTAATGCACTGGACTCAAATTCGGTTTGAACCACAAGGTCGGTGATCCAAGCTCACCAGCTGCTCCTCAGAAACCCTATCCAGATTCGCTATGGGTCGGAACCGACTCCACAGCACTTGACAGCAACAACAACCACAATGGCGATTCCTGGCCAGTGTCCCTCTTGTGCAGCCACCACCCATGTGTCCGTGGAAGCTTCTGTGTTGCTCTGGTACTGAGCAGATTTCAGTGAAGCTGCAGATTCAACAGATGAGGAAGAAAAGCCTGGTGATCTGCTGCTGAAAATTAGTCAATGGAAACGAACAGATTACAATGGCCTGACCCATACCACGATTTGAGTCAGGTTTACTTTAGTCCTCAAATTGATTCTCTATGCTCTTTGGACACTTTAGAGGCTTTGTGTAGTAGATTTGCCTAATGTAATATGTTGTTTCATTTATTGCCTGCTGTTTCTATGAGCATTGATTGATTGTGGAGCCAGGGAAAGTGAAATCTTTGGCAACTTCAGTCTTTTCTCAGTTTTTCACAATGTTTTTTATTGGTCAAGTTGTGAGGATTTTTTATTTATTTACATTGCAGTACAATCCATACTGAAGTATTTGATCGTCATCGATAAATACTTCAAGTCCTCTTCACTTCCAGCAAGCAAGGTTATGTCATCTGTATATCCCAGGTTCTTAATGAGTCTTCCGCCAATCCTGATGCCACAGTCTTCGTCATATAATACAGCTTCTTGGATTATTTACTGAGTAAACAGATTGAATAAGTATGTTGAAAGGATACAACCTAGACACACATCTTTCCTGATTTCAGGCCAGGTGGTATCCTCTGATTCTGTTTGAATAACTGTCTCTTATTCTATGTACAGAATACAGTTAACTGTTCTGGAATTCCTATTCTTCACAATGGTATCCATATTTTGTTTTGCTTAACACAATCAAATGCCTTAGTATAGTCGATAAAGCACAAATATCTTTCTTGTATTCTCTGCTTTCAGTCACGATCCATCTGACATCTGCAACAGCAGTCCTCATTATGTCCTCTTCTGAATCTGGCTTGAGTTTCTGCAGCTCCCTGTCGATGCACTACTGCATCCATTTTTCAATTCTCTTCAGCAAAATTTTACTTACTTGGGATATTCATGATATAATTCAATGAGTTCTGCATTCTATTGGGTCATGTTTCTTTGGAATGGTCACAAATATGGATTTCTTTCAATCAGTCAGCCAGGTAGCTGTCTTCAAAATTTCTTGCTGTACATGAGCGAGCACCTCCAACACTGCATCAGTTTGTTGAAACATCTCAGTTCGTATTGCATCAATTCTTGGAGCCTTGTTTTTCACCATTGTCTTCAGTGCAGCTTGGATTTCTTCCTTCAGTGGACTTCAACCATCACTTCTTGATCATATGGTAACTCTTGAACTGATTGAACATCTACGCTCTCTTTCTGGTAGAGGGAGTCT